TTTCTTTCGTTGTTTTTCTGCCGTCACCGCAGTCTGGGGTAGTTTTTATTTTTTTTGTGTGTTTGTTTGATACTACAGCAATTACGTGGATTCGCGGAACAAGTCCTGCTACGGTTTGAGTGACATATGTGGCAACTTGTCAACGATGACACTGGTCGATTATCGATAGAACTCTCTCTTGACAAATTATTGACAAAGAGACAAACTTTTTGGAGTTCGTGTTAAAATGTTTTTGTGACGGATGTTGCCGGACGTGTGGATACGATGGACAGGTGAGAAATAACTTATTTACGTACGGGCTTTCTTGGTCATAGGACTCAAGTAAACTGCTGCAGTCGTTTTTTCTTTTTTTTTTTTTAATTTTGTGATGGAATGGAATTTTGTTCTTCGTCGTTATCCGTGTTCACTTACGTTGATATCAGTAAATATGCGTGGTAATCTAGTTTTCACTGGAAGGTGAATAACAAGTTTGTGGGGTTATTGAAAGTGCGTTGTTTGTGCTTGCGTGTTTATTTATACTAATGTTATTTTATTTCCTTTACCACGTTTATACTAGAACCTTAACTGTATTAAGGTATTAGTGTTATTGTATACAAAATAAGTTATATATTGTTCTAAGGCAGCTCGAGCCCATATGGAGAAGTAAGTTAGTTGACTAAAAAGTAAGTTTAGTACCCCTGCCACACGGCAAAGTTAATATATTTTCATTAAATGATAAGGGATTTAATCAGCTCGCGGTCTTGAGTGATTATACGAGCATCGCAAGCTGATTTGTCAACCCCATAATGTCATTTGATCGAAATTACATTAAGTTTGCCATGGGGTCGGGGTATAATGCAAAAATTCAGTGACTGCACGCGATAGCATCGCTTACATGATCGTAAGTGACACTTGTCTTGCCTTGTCCGCGTTGACTGTATTCGTCTACCTGATTTTTAACAGATCTGTTTTGCTGTGTCCAATCACTGCGTGTCTCGCCATTTAGTCGAAGTATTTCTGTACAAAAATATGCATTCCTACAGCAATAATTGTGTTACTCAATGTTTTCGACTTAACACAATCACATTTTTCTATAGGCGTCTTATACACATACCTTGTGCCATTTCGTGCCGATTATTTAGCGGAGTAATATTTTGCCCGCGTAATAAAACGTTTTCTAGACCCGTTACTTTGTGCAGCTCTCATTTTAGCTAATAAGACACGGGTATGAGACTAAAAGCGCGTTACGACGGTCGATCCACGATCGTTGCCTTCGCTTCGACGCGCGCCCCCGATGGCCTTCCTTTGCGACGTCACGAGAAAAGCGCTACGGCCGTCTTTTTTAGGTGGTCAGGCGTAACCGGAGGGAGGTGGGGGAAGGGGAGCAGGATTCCCGCTTCCTGCGCACTGCTGTATCATGTGTTCTACGCTCTGCTTTCAGCCATGTCGCGCCGCCCGGCTGGCCTCTGCGGAAAACAGCGGTGCGCGCTGCTTGTAGGAATGCGCTGCGTGTAGCAATGCTTTCGCATTCCTACATGTAAGCAGTCTTAAGCGTCCTTCTTTAATTTAGTATCCCTCTTTCTGCAGATTTCGTGTATTTGTCTCCAGATCTGCTATGCGAGCACATAGTCCTTTTCGGCATACACCGCGACCCGATGTTTCACACTGCCAATTAGTGAAAAAAAAAGAAGTTTCCGCAGTCTTAATAGTTTGCGTTTTCGAGTATCATCCTCCCGTGTCGGTCTCAAGCGGTTATGTGAACTTCATGCTGCAGTGAAGTATATCGATGACAATAAAAATATATTTAATTACTGAAGATTCGACAACATAAATAAAGGGCCGATCCCTTTAAAGATGTACATCATAAGTAAATGCACCCCCAAATTATCTCAAATATGATCTGCAAAATCGTTTTCTGCGTTTTTATTGTCAGTAGGCACGTCTATAATACCCGTGCCACACGGGCAACTCGAATGCCATTTACAACGAATGGCATTTGAGCGGACGGCCAATCTGCGCGCGACACTCCGGGCGTGGCGCATTCCACGCGCGACAGATTGCGAGCTGATTGGCCGATCACACAAATGTCATTCGTTGGAAATGCCATTCGAGTTGCCCATGTGGCACGGGTATTAGTTAATTGGCAGAGCCTTAAACAAATTTTTGGTTTCGAAGCTGATATAAAGACGTATCTGTTCCTGACACATATTTAACTTCTCACCCATATAGAAGTTTGTTATTGCTTCTTATATGTGATAAACAACAATTTTATATGTCTGTGAGCTAAACAAAAACAAAGTACACAGGGGCGCGTGGCAGAATTGTGTTTATTGCGCACGCAGACTGCCAGAAAGTGACCAATTAAATAGCTGCATTGTCGAGCAGAATATGAAATATGAAATGAAAAAAGACAACAACTTCGATCATTCTTTTCTGCATGATGATTCATCTGCATCACGGTGCTGACTATAAACAATGTTGGTAAAGATAACAAGCGTTGTGATTACCGCTCTGAGGTTCTGTCAGGCGCATAGCCAGGGGAGGGGGGGGGGGGGGGGGGCATGCCCTCCTCCCTTTCCGAAATCTTCTATTTTGGTGGGACCTCCTCCCCCCCGAAACAAAATCCTGGTTACGTGCCTGGGTTCTATAAAAGGTAAACTGCAAGGGCTTGTTCTAAAACTTCCGTGACATTTTTTCAGATAGTACTGCTTTTAGCTCAATTGCGTACTCATCACATATATTGTGAAAAGAATTTCGTAAACTAGATTTCGGCATATATACAGCGAGGAGGCGCCTATTCCATGATTTTATGCACCGCAATTAATTCCTAAGTTGAGGAGCACAACTAGGATTCCATTTTTAATACTGCGACGCAAAGTTGCACCAATCACGGGTATTTTAGGCCACCTACCAGGCTGATAACGTTTCGATTCAAGTAAAATATACGCGACTGACGTAAACAAATAGATGTTGAGTCGTATGAACACGAGGCTTTGTATGTTAACCTAGCTTTTTTTTAATGTTTCACTGAAATTAATTAACGTCATTTGTTATTTTTGGTACCGGAAAATAAAAGTACATTGTAGAAGTGATAAAAAGCTATAAACGTTCCCGTTTCACGGGTGAACTAGTGTCTATTGCCAAAATAACGTGGAAAATAACGGTTCTAACCGGTTTGGAGCGCTATATAAATATAGCGCCCCAAACCGGTTAGAACAGTTATTTTCGCTCCTCGGAACTGAACCGGAACTAAACCCTAAGCCGTGAGCCTGAACCCAAACTGAACCGGTAAAAATTTCGCTTCGACACTCTAGCTGCCAGTCGAGACTTCCAGTTTAAACAACACGATGAGGACGAAAATTTTTAATTCAACAACTTCGCAAAAAAATAATATTTTGGTCTATATTTGGGATGAATTTCAGCCATGTTTTTGGCTTGTTTAGAAAATTTTCAGGCAAATCGGGAACCATGAAGAAAACGCCAGAGTGCGGCGCTCTTTACCACCTAAAGAAATATCATTCAAGGGTGGCCGATTTCCCTATTAAAAATCTATACTCCGTTCACTCTTAAGCTTAGACTGCAGCCGATGCCACAAGCACGAGAGCTCGAGGACGCTGCTGTGAAGCGTTCTTGGGAAGAACGAACACTCGCACTAGAAATGCACAACCCAGGGGCGCGTGCTAGCTCGCGCTTGTAGCCTCGGCTGCACTCAGCTTACGGGTGAACAGGGTATAGGCGTCTCTCGGCTCCCAACGACCCGACTTGTACATAATATGGAAATGAATAAGAATTGCACGAGAGACTCCCGCCTCCTGACGCTCCTGCCCTGGCCCGGTTCGGCTCCTGATTACCAGATCCGAGTTCATCCAGCCTGCAGGAACCCCTTAGTCGCGACAGCCGGTAGAAGGGCACACTAACTCCGAGCGCGAAAACAGCGATTGCAAAGAACTGCGCACGCGTCTTGTCTTTTCCGCATAAACGCGAAAGGAAACAAAAATAAAGTAAGTTTCTTAATTAGACTTGCAGGCAAAAGAGTCACAACAAAGCGCGCGAAGCTCGGTAAATAAGGGCGGAGTCGAACGAAAACAAACAGCCCGAGTCTCGGTCGGTGTTTGTTCAGCCAATACCAGCTAGAAGACAAGGCCTGAACCCGCCTCCTGTCCTTCCAAAACGTCATCACTAGTGGCCCCCCCGTAGCGCCGCCTAGCGTGCGCAAGTCTCCCACCGAGCATCAGCTTGTTTGCCGCTTCGAGGTGGGGGCGGGGATCCACTTATGATGACGTCGTGCGCAGGCCTTGTCTTCTAGGTGGCATTCGTCTGACTACGGCTTGAGCAAAGGCGCTGCTGGTTCGCTTGTGCTCTCAGGGTCTCGAGCAGCGTGGGAACCGCGAACGTAAGAAACAGAAGTTTGCAATTTCTCGGCGGATTTCCTGCCGTATATTGTTTACCCGAAAAAAAAAAATATTCTCGAAAGTTTCTTTTCTTTTCTTGTCTGGTGGGATTTTGCGCATGTCAATGTTTGTCGGGATTCTCATAAAGTGCGTATACGCTTCAAACCACTCGAAAGGGGTTGCCATCGCCGTTGGCGTTCTAAAGCAGTCTCGCTTCGTACACTTTCACTTGGAATCACGATCAAAATACCTGGCAGCACGCAGAGCGAAAAGCTCGAGTATAAAGCACCCAAGAAACCCTATGGCTCAGAAACAGTCCTCATATCTCTACCAGTTACGAGATTAAAGAGCTTTAGTTGATCTTTCGGATAACTCCAACAATTGTGTCCGATATACTCCGCCGGTACGTTTGCAGATGCATCGTATTGTTATCTGGTACCGTTATCGTGGTTATCGGAACGATGTACAAAACATTCTTATTGACGAGGAACCTTGGTTTTCCCAACCATCCTAAGGATAGCTTGCGGCATATAAGTATACGACGTCCTGCAAAAAAGAGTTCTTCACATTTATAATTAAATACGATTCTTTTTCCCACATGAACCGTGACGTATCGTTACACAAAAAGGGTGAAACTCACATTTTATTGATTGTTTTGAATGATCGTTATGCATGTTCTTTTTATTAGATATTCCAAAAATATACAGACATAATAATGTGTATTAGTCTTATTTTCTCACGTTCTCAAGCTTGCAACTGGTGCACCTCTCCCATAAAGAGAAGGCGTCCGGTCGCCCTGTTCCTAATGTAGAACAGGAACGGACGATCGACGTGGAAGTTCACAATCCTGGAAGCAAGCGACGATCCCATCCTCATGGAAATTGACGTCACAGCCGCAGCGACTGTGCCCTTTTCGTTCACCTCGACCATAGCCTTGTGCCTCACACCGGAAACAGACAGCGACTTGTCTCCGGTTATCCCCGAGAAGTCAGACTTTTCATCGAACACAGACTTCAGTCCCATTTGTTTCAGGGTCGGTATCAGGTCGTAGTTGGTCTGCAACTCGAATTTCGGCAGCGTGAGGCTCACCGTTTTAGCAGACATCTGGTTGGTAATCTTCTGAAGCATCGAGACAGTGAGACCTTCTCGAAGCTGAGACAAACCCATCTTGGCGTTGGGAAGCACGATGACCATGCTGTACTCTTCACCCTGGTATGGAAGTTCCACAGCTTGAGCCTTGAGGCCGTCCAGGCTTGTGTGACGGATTGGGCCCTTGAAAGCCATGGTCTTGACGTGGACCTCTTCGCTGCCTCGATTGAAGAACGATCGCGGGACGGTGTTCTTTTCCGGAAACTGGTCGTGCCAGGTAGCATTGAAGTAGACAGCGTTCAAGAGGAGCATCGCGGTGTTCATCGGAAAGCCGTCATCGACCATGCTCAGAATCTTTCCACCGGTCTTCTGCCTCACCCACTCGTTAACTTGGGACTGCACCCTCGGACCATCGTTGGCAAAGTTGACGGATCTCAGCTCCGCACCGAAAGATTCCGTCAGAGTCTTCTTGAAGCTATCCAGAACGGGAAGCCTGTTCTCAATCAAGACGAAGTTGGCGATGTCTAGGGTGACGTTTCCAGAGTTGGTGCCGGCCAGTAGTTTCTTGTAAGCTGCTATCACGGTGTTCCGGTCGGTGAGTCCAAACCTGGCCTGGCCCAGAACTTTGGATAGCTCTTTTTTGGATAATCCGCCGGCTCCAGCGTAGATCATGGCGAGGGCTGTGGAGATGCTGGTTGGAGAAAAGAAGACGTTGTCATGGGTTTTCTCGGAAGTAAGCTGCTTGAGGAGGCTGACGCAGAATTCGTTGTTGGCCTTGGCCAGGTTCTGCTCATCGCTCTTCGAGTAGCAGCTGGCTACCACCACCAGGAGGAACAGTACAGTCGGAGCGAACATCGTGGAAGACATGATACAGAGTTACTCTACCAAGGCGTTTTATATAAAACTGCCGAGGGGCATATGTAGGTCACATTTGTCCACCGACCTGTCTGCATAAGATAAAGGTTGACTCTAATTTTGGATTTCCCCGCTGTTATCTAGACGCGCCTTTGTTCTTCGTGGCGTGAGAGGTGTGTTGTTGCAATATCGATAATACGCCGAAGTCACCTGGCGGAGAAGAAATAATTAAATACGGGGTTTTCACGTGAACCCACTGCTGAACTTGCTGCTCCTACATGCAGTCATTGGCCGTATTTTATGAGTTATCAGACAGCCACGTGTCACCTCACATTGTTGCCATCGGGGAGTTGCTTTTTTGCCGCTATAGCTTTCGTTTCATCGTTACTTTGAATGTAGTGGATTGCGATTGTACCTTCAACATAACTAGTGATTTTAAAAAAATGTCTTTGAAACTCGGGCATTTGAATAATTCTTTTACAATTTTGTTTTACAGTGCATCGGTGTTGTGGAATGAAGACCCCCCTTATAATCCAACTCCATTTCAGGGAATTGCATTTTCCAATCATTCTATTCCTTCCTTTGAACTGCCAAGAATGTAAAAAGTGGGCCCATTCCCACTCCTGGATGCCTGAACCGTTCCACTTCCTTCCTCTAACTCCCAACCGCGAAAAATGGGGCTTGACAGCTACATTAAGTTGCCGACAAATAACTTCAGTGCAAAGCTGGCGTTATCAAACCCAAAAAGAACTACAAAACTATGCAAAACAGGTCCAGGAAGCGTTGATTCTACTAAACCGAGCTGTCGTCACACATAGCGCTGGTGACAATTGGTATGGTGGCTCTGCAGATATCGATCGCGTGACCAGGAGTACCCGCGGCTCGTAGCAGATGGCAAAACTTCAAACCCCCCCATTTTCTCCACAAAAGGAACGTATATATCCTGCACTTGTAGACATACATGGCAAGTGAGGAGTTACATTCCAAAGAAACGCGAGCGGTGTGGCATTGTCTCTGCCTGGGTGTCGACTGGCGCTGTTATCGCGCATGACCACAAAAGTCATATTGTCGCAGGGGGGTAAAGGTGGGTGAGGAGGACTGGCAAATCCCGTGCGCCGACATCCTGGGTCCCGAGTGAAAGATCGCGAAAGAGAGCGACAGAACCCGAGAGAAAGAAACCAATGTTGCCAGCTGAAGGACGACAGTCGCAATTGTAATCGCGAAGACTGAAAACTCTCAGCAATATAAACAGTGATAATTTAACGTTGTAAACTGAATTATCTGCTATTCTAACGCTTATAAAAGGCAGTATACTCATTACGCTGCATTAACTTCCCTTCTGTTGAAATCTCTTAAATCTGGTGTGTGCTCGGTTTTCTATAGACCTTTTCACCCTCCGCCGCATGGGCGCTGCCATCTTGGAATCACGTGATGCGGCCGCCATTAGGTTGCTTCAACTTGTTGCTCCGCTCTCCCGTCCGCGCCTTGGCGGATGCGTGTTTTTCGTCGCCTTTCACCGCGTCTCTTGCCTTACTCCGTAAAGTGTCGTCCGATACTTATACTTACCATGCAATTGCATTACATCATTATGCGCGCAACTTCTGTAGTTGATTTTGTAACACGTGTGGAATATTTTTTACCGTCGGCGTGCGGGATACGTGTGAAAAGGCTTTATAGGAACAGGAATCAGCGTGAGCACTTGCGCACATTGAATGCAAATATGACTTGAAGAGAGCCTCGAGGGTTCAAATACCAATAGCTTATGAGAACTGAGGTTTGTTTACTAACAAAAGCGGAACATTTGGAATAGGAAACCCAATGTAATTATATATATGAGTGCGCATTGGTGGCAGTGAAGGAAACAAAAACACTCAGCGTAATTAGCCACGTGTTTTTCCTGAAAGCATGGTGTTTTGTAGTAACAACAGATCGAAAACAGTTTCTTTTGATTATATTGTGGACAAGACGCGAGAACAAACGTTAAGTTTGAATTATTTTTTATGCTAGAAATAATGGTACCTTAACATTAGGCAACTTGTTTCTTCGCATATATCACACCTATATCTGTTTTGCGTCCTTAATCGCGTCTGCGATATAAGCATTCGCTTGATCGGTTTATTTAGGAATTCCACGGAATTGTATATCGTGCTTGGTCTCATGTTCATAGTCTTTCAGCTGCTTTAGTCATTTTTTAATATAATCAAGCAGTTTCAATTAATTCATTTCAACACAAATATTTTGACTCGTCGCGTAAGAAACTGTCACAGACAGCTTGATAGTGCCTATAATTCACAAAATATGACGCCGAAAAGAATCCTTCTGCATGAAAATCACCCGAGTGCAGCCGGTTGTTGACGGCGAATAGGGAGTTACTTCCAGTAGCTGGCGACGTCAAAATGTGCATACCGTACCGTTTCAAATAAGTGAACAGCTTTCTACACAGGTCCATTCGGTGGCGCCTGGCATTTGACTTCAGCAAAACTTATCGGAAAACATTTCCTTTGCGCTCTTCAATCTCATTCGGCAAATTTTACGGAAGATGAATATCAGACTTTATTTGAAGTCTTGCATTCACTTATCTCACCATTCTCATACCTTGAGAACGTCGGAAGCAAATGTCCATATAACAAAAAGTTTATTTCATAAGGTCAATATTTTGAAATTCTGTTAATGAGTACTTTAGTTAACGAAATTTTCCAGTCAGCCTAGGCTGGTCTATCAAAATATTTCTCGAGCGCTTAATTTCTTTAACTAAAACAGGCCGAGACAATATCACTTTCTTTATATTATCTACGTGATTATATGCAACTTTTCTATTGATTATAAAAGACGTTTCCAGTCTCGAAGTTAGAAAAGGTTGGTGTACGAATACCAAACATCGAACAGTAAACTTGTCAGTTCATCTGTTCTTGGTGAAACAGCAGATTGTTAATCATGTTGTCGACCTGCTTTTTCACTAAGCACTCATGCAATATAGTCTGTTGCAATATAAGGTGAACAGTTCAATATCTGACTTGAGCGCGAGCTATCTACCTTTTGTTCTGCTCGGTGCACGCACAGCCAAAGCACGGCGGCAGGCAACGAACGCACGCTGCAGGCGGAGCTTGTCCTGCTCTTTATTTTTTTTTTTTTTTTTTGTTTCTCTGGAAATTAGTGTCCACGGGTACGGCTGTGGACAATGGTACTCCTCCCTGTGCATCAGCGGAGTTGTTTCACCGTCGAACCTGGCCGAAATTAACGATGGACGGAATCAGACGCACATCGTGTTCGTAAAAAAGATCGCAATTCAGGCTCGAAACAACATTGCGGTTTGCCAAGTGGCTCAATACTATTGTTTCATTCGCTGTGTGCTACTAGAAAGAAATTCATATCGCAAAATTAATCGAAAGTGACATGAAACAGCATAACAATCGCGTGCACGTTGAAACCGAAACCGACCAAATTGAAGCAACCTAATGGCGGCGAGTGCGCCAGCGCCCTCTACCCGCCGGTCAGGCAACTACTGAAATGAAAAGGTCCCCGCGCGCGCGAGGACGGTTACCTGGTTTAGTTTAGCGTTGATGCGAGGCCGTACATCTTCGCGCCATGCAAACAGAAAGCTTCGAAAGGAACACGAATATCTTTCCACTGGTAAGTTCGCGGATTGATGAAGTTCATGATACTGCTTTGATGATATAATTGTATTCGTGAAATCGAAGGCAGTTGGTAACAATGTGTGGGACCCCGAGGGTCTGCCTGGAAGTTCTGCCGCTTGCGGCAGCCAGAATGCATGGGGAAATGGTAGACCTTTTCCTCTAGAATTAGTATGTACGATCTCTGTGTATTTTCTCGTCTCGCGGCGCCTTGTCCGCCGACAACTTTAAAGTTTTTGGTTGCATCACTGGGGGTGCCGCCTTCATCCTCGAAATAACATGAACAGGTCGGATAACAAAGCCGTCAGTTATCTCCAGTGCAATGATGCTGTTTTAAAAGCTCCTTTGACCAGATCGACATAGCTCATTTAAGAACAGAGCCCCATTCCATCCCCGCTCCCTCCGGGCAAAATGCACCGCATTGCCATTCCATTCCTCCAGTGCTGCCGCTATTCCATTCCCATTTCATTCCGTGGTCGTGGAAGGACGGAATGATTCCGGAATGATTCTGAAATGGTTTTGGAATACCGTGTCAGAAGACTACTGGGGAGAAAAAAAAAAAAAAAAACAACGGAGGAGGGAGTTGGCAAAAGTCACGTGGCTGTGCAACTCTTTTTTTTTTTCTTTTTTTCAATCAACGTATTTGCAGCTTCTTAGAAGCCACAAAAATGGGTATCCTATTTCTTTGCTATTTTTAATATTTTGTGCGTGCCTTCGAAGACCCACGACTTTGATTATATTTTCTGACTGTGTCTAAACCATAGAAAACGGCACGTGACCACGGAGAAGGGAGTGAGCGGGACTCGAACCGGCCAGTTCTCGATCGGCGATTTTCGGGCAGAAAGAAAACGAATTTCGCTGGGTCGCTAAACCCGCGAAACACAAAGTTGGGGCGGAAGTTCGCGGAGCGTGCTGATTGGACTCTCGCGACGAAGGTGTCACGCGGGACGAGATGTCAATCATCCGAGCTCTCTCGGAGCTCAAATTCCAGGAGAATGTGAAACGCAAAGTCGTAACGAGCTACATTGGAGCGCGCGCGAGCAACGCCGTGGGGCCAGGCGATTGAACGGCTTGATGACGTCGCTCCCGCGTGTCCCTACATCCCTACGCCGCGTTAGAATCAATAATACGTAATTGTACCTAGGTAGGCTGTAAATACTCTGAAGTTTCTCGTCGGAAGATCGTTGTTTGTGGAAGTTATTGCTTACGACATAGTGACGTTTCACAACTTTGGGAAGGAGTTATTTGAGGCCGAAATCTTCGCTTCGGTGTCGAGGCGAAGATTGAACTTTGTGATATTGTGGAGCCGTGCGCGGTGTACACGGCCTTAGAGCTCATCTTCCGGAATTGTCAACAACGCTACCGGGTTCACCCAGGGGCCGTGTGTAGACTGGCGTCGGTACTGTTCGAGAGAAGAGGGGGCGACTAGAGAT